GATAACAAATATTAGGTCCCTCATTGTTATTTTGTAAATACAGTTGAAAGACGATAACGAGCCTAAAGCTTGAAGTGTTTCATCAATCTCGTGTAATTTTTTTTCATATATTTTCAATACCTGTTTATTGTTCGTTACAAACATTTATCATTAATTTTGAAGAACAAAAAATTAATAATTTATATACGTCAAATACATTATTTTCTAAATTCTTAGTCTTACCTTACTGTTATAGAATCCCATGGAAATTATAATAAATATATATATATGATTGAAAATATATGTAATATTAGATAATGTTCCGTCTAAAGTAATCATCTTAGTTTTATAATATTTTCCATTGTAGTAAACCCATTCGATATTATACAAAATATAAAGTAACATCGTGTAAATTAGACATGGTATTGTCCTTGGATGACCTCGAGGATACTCAAAAACACGTAATCCAAAAATAACACTTAAAATATATATCGGTCGTAACACATCCCTCACACTTTTTAATTGTCCATATTTTTCTTGATTAATTTTACATATATTTCGAAATTTGTTTTTTATTTTCAATTTGTCTAACAATTTTCTCATTTTTACTTTTTCGTATTTTTTATAAATCAATCAATTTCGATTAATCAAAGTATTTAATTAATACTTGTGTCTGTTTAATTTGATTTTTTTTTTTTTTATTATTATTTTGTAAAAGGAAACCGACAAGAGTCCGACAAGAACGTTTGAAGGATATTATGTTAATGAAGTTAATATATTTATACAAGTTATGTTAGTTCTTTTCAACGTGGCGTTGTTAAATTCATCGATTTCATAATCCTTTTAATTTTATTTCTTCTTTTTTATTTTTTCTATCGCAGAAACCATTCCAAGTAAAATATTTTTCATTGCTACTACTTCAGAGTATTTTCTTTAACCTTTTAACGTGTTGATAAATATTTATCTTATGAAATTATATCTTATTGATTTTTATTTCGCTATAAGTTTATGATATTAAATGAATAAATGGCTCTCATTAAAAAAAGAGACAAGACCGATGAAGATATTTATAATGATTGAAGAGGTGTGGAAAGTATGAGTAGAAAGATGATCATTTTTACCCCGAAGCTAAATTGATGTATGTCGTAATAATATTTGCTACATAAACTTTAGAACGTAATAAGAAGAGAAATTGCGATAGTATGAATTAGTATCGTTTGAAAACTTCAACAAGTAGTCGCTTGGAAACTAAGAAAAAAAAGAATTATCAACAATTTCTTTCGTGTATTATATAATATATATATATAAAAAAAAGTGATATATTTTGCAAAAAATTAACAAAAAAATGTTTCAATCTGATGAATTTCAACGTTTGATTATGCCATTGATTATTATAAATTCAATAATTAGTACCGGTTTGTCGGAATATTTCGAAAATCGTTTAATACGAGCGATTGGTATTTTCTACGCTATTTGTTGTTCAATTTATTATAGTACTTTATTTCTTGTGTTGAAAGATATAATGAATATTTTTTCAATATCACAAATGACCGAAGTAGCGGAAATAATAACCAAAGTTCAATTTATTAATAATTATTTTATTTATATCATAGAAATGTTTGCCGGTTTAATGAGAAGAAAGGTACAGAAATTATAATACACGAAAAATAAACGTGAATTAGTGTTAAAACATTGAAATCTTTATTTTTTTGTTTGTTTGTTTACAGCAAGTAAAATTGTTCGTCAAACAATTAGAAACTTGTACACGAGCAATGAAAGAACTTAACGTATCGGAAAATTATTTTTCTATTTTAAGATACCAATGTATCATAAGTTTATTATCGATATTTATAATATTAGGTTTAATCGTAGTCGATTATATTTGGTTTTCTAAAATTTATGTTAATTACATTATGAAATTACGGTTTTATTATTTCGACAATTATCCTCTCATCGTAACTATGGTCGTTAATTTTACTTTTGTCTTTTGGATCAGGCAAGTCACGATAATTATCTCAAAAACCGTTTTATTGAATAGGAACATTATACATTTTTGATTTTTTTAAAATTAGATATATAAAAATCAAACTCAGTCAATTGAATGTTGCATTGCGAAACATGTTGACATCAACTTTAGATATTCCCCAACATAGGAGAGTACTTTTAATGAAAGATAAATGGGAAAATGATTCTTCGTTATCAACTATTTATCAAATGTACAAAAATAATGAAAATCTTGTTAAATTAAAAAGAATTAAGTAAGTCAAATTATTATTTGTCGTTTAATTAGTAGCAATTAATTTATATATAATATATCTTATTTTTTTTTCTCATTTAAGACAAATCCATTTGGAATTGATCAAATGTGCCAAAATTATAAACAATGCTTATGGATTACAATTGTTTATAACTACGACTACGGCAATCGGATTTATTATTACATTGTTATACAATATATGTGTTATTTCAGTGTCGGATATAAATAATCATAAGATAAATGATTTCTATGCACATTTCTATTGGTTATTATTTTTTATTTTTAAAATATTAATAATATGCAACATGTGCGAAAAAACGATGACGGAAGTAAGTTATTATTATTAAATACCTATTCCTTTATTTTATTTATATTTTATTTATTATAAAAATTGTTTAACTAATTGTAAATATACAACGAATATTGATATTATTTTCATTTATTTTTCTATATGCTTTAATAACTGGAGACATTCTTTGCGAATTGTACGAACCATCGACCAATGGAAAATTTCGCGATGAAGTAAGAAACAATTGTCGAATTTTTAAATAATAAAAAAATTACATTTTTAACTTTATCATTATGTTTTGTTTTTTTTTTTCAGATTAACGATTTTATATTTCAATTAAATCAAAATCGTTTGACTTTTACTGCTAATGGATTTTACAATTTGGATCATTCATTTATATATAGTGTTAGTTGAAAATATGATTATATTTTTATTGATTTGATTTGATTGTTGTATTTAATTAAAAATTATAATATTCTAATGCTCATTTTAGACGATCGGTTCAATAACTACCTATCTCGTTATACTTATTCAAGTTGGAGATAAACCTAATCTATTGTTCAACAATACTAATTATAATTCAATACGAAGTATGTAACGAATTGTTTTATAAAAAATTGATTCTCTATTATTATAAACAAATTTATCTAACATTTACTATTATACCTATTTGACCTTTTCTATCTTAATAAGAAAAAGAAAAATATCATAATAGATAATAACGAGAAAAGATAATATCTGTACAAAGAATAATTTCATATTAATTTAACGAAGTAATACCTGTATGTCAATTGCATCTAACGATCGTAATACTAAATAAGAAGGAAGGTAAATTCTCATACCTTTTAACACGAACGTAAGTCAGTTTGATAACCAATACAAATGTAATATAGTAGGATATAATGCAATCAACAAATTGTGAATTGTCGTAGTATCATAGTAAACTTCCACAAAGAATGTTCTACCAATTAATTTTTATAGAAATTTTTTTTTATAATATTAAAATATAACGAGTTTGTATGTAACGTTGAAATAATTAATGTTAGATTAAATAAAATTACGTAAACAATATCTTTTAAATAAATAAATAAATAAATAAATATGTCTTTGTCAATTGAATTTCGTCGTAGTATCAAACCTTTGATATTAATGAATTCAATTTTGGCAACCGGTCTTACGGAATTGTTTACCAATAATAAAATTAATATGATCGGTATGATTTATGGATTAGTTTCTATTATCTTTTACGTTATTATGGGAAGTGTAATTTCATTTCCTTCGGAACAATCTTTTACTAATCAACCGTTTATAATACAAGTGACATTTAAGTTATACATTTGTAGCGATTACACTTTTCAAATTGTCACCATTCTCGCAGGAATTCTCAGAAGAAAGGTAAACTTTCTCTCTTTTTTTTTTTTTCATTTATTTCATTAATAGAAGATATATGTATATCTTGTATTATCTTGTGTAGAAGATAAAACGTTTCACAATGCAATTAGAAACTTGTATACGAGCAATGGAACAACTTAATATACCAACGAATTTTGCTAAATATTTTCGACAACAGTGTATATTAATATTATTCTTGATTATTTTCTTAATAATCATGGTAACCTTTGATTATCAGTGGTTTGTGACATTCGTTAAAGGTTTTTGGTCAGTTGTTGGAACATTATATGTAGAACGTTATCCATTTGTAATATTGACAACAGTAGATGCTACTTTCGTATACTGGATGATGTAAGTAAATAATATTCCAAAGAAAATTATTATTTTATATTTAAACAAAAGAAATCTATTAAAACGTTAATTAGATTAGTCAAAGTAAGATTTGGTCAATTGAACAAAGTATTAAAAAACATGCTGACGACTACTATCGATTCGCCTCAACACAAAAGGGTTCTTAGAATGAAAAATAATAGAAAAAATTATTCTCCGTCGTATGAAATTCATAAAACGTACGAATCGAACAAAGATCTTATCAAAATTAAAAAAATCAGGTAATTGGCAAATAATATAATATAATATATAAAAAATGTATATAATTACTATACGATTGTGTAATTATAATTATAATAAGATCATTTAAATGTTGTATATTTTGTGTTTCATTGATTTGATTTAGAAAAATACACCTGGAATTAATTAAATGTGCAAGAAATATAAATGATGCATATGGATTACATATTTTAATGTCTATATCAATAGCTTTCGTTTTAACAATTATTGTTGCTTACCATTTATATAATTATATAATTAGTAGAGCCTATCTTACGCAAACAACACCAGCTTTTGTTTATTTTCATTGGATGACTTATTTCGCGTTAAAAATTGTTATAATAAGTCATGCATGCGAAAGAACTGTTAAAGAGGTATATATTTTTTAAGTATTTATTATTATTTTGTTAAATAATATTTAAAAAAAAATTATTACATCATTTATTTTTCTTTACATGCTATGAACATCGGAGATGCACTTTGTGAATTGTACGAACCGTCAACCAGTACAGAATTTCGTGCCGAGGTATTTCAATTAATTAATTTTTATAAAAATTAGTATTAATATTTTATAATATTTTTTTAGATTCGTGATTTTACTTTACAACTTCTTCAAAATCCATTGTCGTTTACAAGTTGTGGTCTTTTTTATCTCAATCATACATTAATACGTAACGTTAGTTCAAATAATAATTTCTACTTTATAATAATTATTAAATTTTAAATGTAAATTATATAATACTAATAATAATTATTATTTTTAGGTGATCACTACCGTAACAACTTATCTCGTTATTTTAATTCAAGTTGGAAACGAATCACCGCAAGATTTAATCGAAGATGTAGAATTATCGACCAGTGAATTTGAAAAAATTTAATATCATTAACAAAATTATTAACTATTTTAATCGTTTGATATCTAATTTTCTGATCGGTTAACAAGGTACGATCGATTGTCACTTACTCACCCCTAACAATTTTCCACCAATTAGAAGGAAGATAGGGGAATAGAGGCTCATCTCAATTACAGTTCCCTATGCGTATAAGGGAGGAAGGGATAAGTGCAGATGGAGGCGTTAGTCCGTAAAATTCAACTAAATAAGTACCTGTATATAGAACTCGATTGATAGTAATATAATAATTACGCTATAATACGAACCCTTTAATAAAAAACTAAATAGACCAAAGTATCATTATTGTTAATATTATTAAAATTAAATTATACAACAAAATACGTAGATAGATTGATGAAATTTTTATACCCTAACGTGGAAACAAAATTCTATTTTTTTTATTTATGAATAAAATTATTATTTACATAATAATATAGTATAGCTATATAATAATTAATATGATAATATCAGAATGATAGTTTCTTTTCTATTTTTCTTTTTTTTTTTTATTGAATTGAATTTCACTTTGATGATAATCGTTGATATGCGAATAATAATAATAAGTAGAACGTTTTCGTGGTAAGTAACCAACCCCCACATTGGTTTACGACGTAGTACGATGAGAGGAGTTGTTCGAACACACGTTTTTGTTAAGGGGATAGTATTAATTGGGAATTAAGGGCGCGAACGTCGGTGACTGTTCGAGGCCACCTGCTACTGTTGAAGAATAGTAGTTGAGCCAAAGGGATTGATTTATCGCACCCATGGGCATACTGGAAAAAGAGAATGTAGAGGGGAGGGATCCTATCGAACCTTTCTTATCTCTCACACCCTCCTTCGAGAAATTATTTAATCGAGGTTCTTCTCGTATTGTTGCTTAAACTATAAATAAATTGTCATAGTTTCTTTTTCAAATAAATATTTAAATTTATCTAGTTGGTAAATTTGTAATTACGTGGCTTGACAAACTTTTGAGTATAAATTAGAAACAATGGGTTTTTTGCAATAACATTTATTTATTTTTGTGTTTTTGAAACTCAGAACTTTCGTATTTCGTTAGAAATAATTTAAATTAGATTTTGTTAAAAGGTGTAAATATGTTGAAGAAATATGGATTTAATATAATTTACGATTTATCGTAGTTTTTCTTTTACCAACTATATAAAAATGCACCCTCTATTTGTTTGACAGTACGTAGGGTGTTTTTCTCGTGTAAACCATATGGGATGGATTAGGAATGGTGGCTCTCGAAAAAGGAACGTAAACAGACATTGTAATCCTAATAATCCGCAAATATCGTTTATCATTCTGAAGCAGATTCATTTACAGTACGAAAGTCGGACCCTTAAAAAATATCAAGGTCTAGTTTTATCCCTTCAAAATTTAGGGTTGCTTTTATCCAGATGTTTCTATCCTAGCGTTTATCATTTTATACAGTACTCTATATAACCAACAGAAAATCAAATAGGAATACTACAATATCGATAAGTTTTGAAGATAATTACAAGATAAAGAATATTTTTAAAAATGTATATATATATATATAATATATATGTGCATACACATAAAATAGCTTAATGTATTCGTATTTACAAGTTTATAATTTCTTAATTATAAAAACTATTGTTTCTGTTTTCCATATTTCAATTTGTTCTTCAATTTTTTCGCATTTATGCCATACATTTTTAATCTAGATGCATCCATTGCAACTATTTGACTATTTGGATCGTCTTTTCTATTATTTTTATTAAATTTCTTCTTGCCTATTTTAGATTTATTTGTTTTCTGAATATGTTGTGAGTTATCGTTTTTATTTGAATTAGATTTATTAGAAACGTATGGTACGTTTTTCTTCTCAGTTTCTGCATCAATATCTGCTTTTTCGATGCAATTTTGTTGAATAGTTTTATTATTTTCTATCGTTTCATCGTTAACAGTATCGTTTGTTTTTATTTTCTTGAATTCACTTTCATTGGAATGTTCTTTTTGTTTTCGTTTCCGTTTTTTATTATTTTTCGATTCCGTAGAGTTAGTACATGTTGTTTCTTCACTTTTATCAGATGTATTCGTAATTTCTTTTTGAACAGAATTATTATCATTATTTTCCATACTATGAGATTGTGTATCAGTAGATGTAACATCGTTAGATGCAATGTTATTCTTCTTTTTACGTCGACGTTTCTTTTTCGTTTCATCCGTTGTTGGTTCACTTTCATTTAATTCTTCTGGCTCTTCAGGACTATTAAAATAAGAAAATAATCATATTTAAAAACGAAATAATATATTATTTTACGATATAAATATATATATATTAAATATGAAGAATACTTACGTATATAAACTTCTAAGAATTTTTCGTTTCAGTTCTTCATTCTGAGCTTTCCGTTGATATTCTTTTACTTGGTTTTGTTCTACGTGTTCGGGCTTATATTGTAAAGCTTTTTTCAATGAACACCATTTATTCAATTCTTTGTCATCAGCCGTTAATATCTTATTAACAAAATATAATATTTTCATTAAATATTTGAATTTTTAAATGATATTTATAAATTTATATTTACCTCTTCGACGGTTAAACCGTAATCATTGGGAACAACTTTTCTGTATTTAAATCTACATGGTAAATCACCGATCATATCTTCATAATCTAATCCATAATATTGATCAAAGTATTCTTCATAAGATGGATGACTAGTTGGATCAAATTTAGGTTTGTCTTTTGCTATAATTTCAGCAAATTTACTACGTCTTCTTCGTTTCTTCTTTTTCGTTCCTTCCAATAATTCTGATTGCAAATTTTGTTTACCATTGTAATCTGCATCCATCTAATATCAAAAACAAATAAAATTAATTAGCTACACATATTTACAATTAAATGACAAAGTGTATAAAAATTATTACATTGAAGTCTGGATCTTCACAATGTGGTTCATTATATTCATAGTCATTGTTATCAACAATTTCATCAACATTGGGATCATAGTCATCCCAGTTTTTATCAATTCCTAATTCTTCATCGATGTCTGGAAATTCAGGTTTCATATCATCTTCTGGTACAGCATAATATTGTTCGTTAAAAATTTCTGTCATTTTTCTATCGTGTTCTGCTGGATCAAAATCTCCTTCCAAATCCGCATCATTAAAACGTATGTCATCGTTTCCTATAAAAAAATAAAAAAAACAAACAATCCAATAACACTTTGGTCACTTTGTCGCACTTTGTGCACTTATTTTTTATACCTGTTATTTCTCTAAGTTTTTCTATTTTCTCTTCTATTTCTTTTCTTTTCAATGCTTTTAATTGTTTCAACTCTTCTCTTTTACGTAATTTGTCTTCTTGTTTTCTTTTTTTCAACTCCGCTCTTTTCTGTGCTCTGCGAGTATCCTTTTTCCTAAGCGTGCTCTCCATTGTACGTGGATATCTAATAATAAATTATAGACGAATAAATAAATGATTAAAATTAAGTACAATTACTTATTAATAATTATATTACCTTTTAATAAATTCCTGATCAGGTTCTTCAAATCTAAAATTGTATTTATGTTCAAATTCTTCTTGTTTGTTTATTTGATTTTCATCTTCTGATAAATTTTCATCGCTATCATGAATCATTTCATTATAATTTAAATCTTTATCGGAGGATTCTTGATTTAAGAATTTATGATTGAGCACATAATCTCTTAAAAATTTTTCATTCGAATCTAATTTAGGATCATTCCAAAAGTCACGCAATGGTTTCAATTCTTCTTCTTCTTTAGGATCAATATCTGTTTTTTGTCCTTTCAGCCATTCTTTGTAACTTTCTTCTTCCTGTATAATAATGGAACATAATTGATGAATAGAAAGAATGACTATCATAAAATTTTTCTTTTAAAACGAACACAATAATTAATTAACCTGCTGCTTTTCCATTTGACTTTTTTCTTTTGGTTTTAAAAGATCTGTATCTTCATCCTCGTCTTCATCGTTGAGTACATTTTTAAAACTTTCTTTAAGTAAACGTTGTTCCTCTGTATACGTTGGATCTTTTTTACTTTCGGTTTGAACTTCATCTTCACTATCACTGTACTTGCCTTCCCTTTCAGTTATAATTTTACGTTCATAATCTCTTAGAAACATAGCTTTATCCTTTTTCTTCTTTTTCTGTTCTCCATTTTGATCCACTTCATCTGCTTGTTCTTCTATGTTATTAAAAAATGTTGTCTTTTGATCATAAATAAGAGGATCCTTTTTCTTCAAATAGGCTAACGTTCTATAAAATTCTTTATCAAATTTTTCATTCAGTTGCTAAAATTGAATTGATATAAAATTAATTATTAAAAATATAAATTTGTTATTATTAATATTTACATATGATACATACATTTCCTTCCTCACTATCATCTTCTGAAGAACTAGAACTAGAATCTGATTCTTCTTCTTCTTCGTTATCTAAACTTGTTGCATTACTCAAATCTACTCCATACTTAGTTTTCACTAAATTATCAAAATACAAATGAAAAATATTTAATAAAAACTAATTAAAAATAATATAAAGCAATAAAATCAATTTATGAATACTTACATTTATTAAGTTCTTCCTTTTGACGAAAATTATCATAATTCTGTGCATAATCTGTATTTACTTTTAATTCCTCATCAGAGTCGGAATTATCACCAGGAAACAATACTGACATTTTTATTTAAATTTATATATATAAATTTCTTTAAGCATAACAAAGCATATCAATATTTTCAAGCCATGTGCAAAATTGAATTATATTTTAGGTTAAGTTCAGTGTCTCGACTGTAGCGACATTTAGTAACCAATTCGAAACATTTCAAATTTTCGCGCGATTTTTATGAATTCGATTCTAGTGTTAAATTTGAAATTGGCGGTAAAGTAATTCTCTGAAAATATCTCTAGATTGGTAACGTTAATTTCACCAATAAGTTTATACCTCTATATATTGTCATGATACAAGATAAACTAATAAATTATTCATAAAAATAATAATCATGTACTATATAATATTCAAATAATAATTATAAAGATATTAGTGAGATCTGTTGTCAAAGTTTTTATCATTTCGATAAACTATAATTTGGTGAAGACGTAAAAACTTGTTCTGCATAAAAAAGAAATGAATATTTAAGAAAATTTGTACAAGTGACTCATACGATACAGCAGGATCATCTTGGTTGTCAAGTGACAAATAAAACAATTTGTAAGTTATATAAAGATTTAATTTGAAAAAAGAAAATATTAAGAAATTTGTATGTGTTTTATCTTCCTGTGGGAGGAATAAAAATTTATTGAAACTATCCGTAATACTGTATGACTTGTCAATCATTTAAGTAAAAATACGAAAATGGACGTTCTAACTAAACTAAGAAATACTGTAAGCAATACTATTACTAATACTGTTCAGAATACAGCATATGGCCTTTCACAATTATCCAATGTTCTACCTGGTAATCCTGTAACTAGAGAATTTGAAGTGACCGCTCATATAGCTAGTGCTGGACCAGGATTATTATGGAAGATTTATAATGGTTACAAAAAGTCAACGAAACAACCTGCTGCTATATTTGTATTTGAGAAACGTATTCTGGAAAGATGGTCATCAAAAACAGATAGAGAACTTGTATTAGAAACATTAAAGCGAGGAATAATGCAGTTGACAAAATTAAGACATCCACAAATATTAACCGTTCAACATCCACTTGAAGAATCCAGAGACAGTCTTGCGTTTGCAACAGAACCAGTATTTGCTAGCTTGGCTAATGCATTAGGTAATATGGAAAATGTTCCCCAACCATTACCATCAAATCTAAGGAATTATAAATTACTTGATATTGAAATACGTTATGGACTCTTACAACTTGGCGAAGGACTTGCATTTTTACATGGTGACGTTAAGCTATTGCATAGAAATTTATGTCCTGAATCAATAGTTATTAATTCACATGGAGTATGGAAAATATTTGGTTTTGATTTTTGTGCCTTGAATCAAAGTACAGATAGTAAACAGGTAAATAATATTAAATAAATCATAAGCATATAGTATTTGATTTGTATTATGTATTTATAACTTTTTTTTTTAGCCAAGTTGGACATATACAGAATATGATCCTACTGCTCCATCTGTAACATGTCCTCAATTAGATTATCAAGCTCCTGAATGCATATTGGCAAGCAGTAATAGTCCATCAAGTGACATATTTTCTTTAGGCATGTTAATTTATGTTATACATTCTCCAGATAATCGGCCACTTCATGAATCACAAAATGATTTGTCCAGGTGTAAACGTTTCTTAGAAAATTTTAAAGGATCTGCTGTGTCGTCTAAATTATTTTCAGTTCCAGAAAATCTTAAAGATACTACTAAACTAATGTTAAGTCATAGCCCTGAATTAAGGCCAGATCCTCATCAATTTATTAAAGTGAATATTATTTTTCAATATTTTCTTGAAATAAAATATAAATGTATTTTTAACATACGATCATATCATTTAAGATTGAATATTTTATGGATATTGGAGTAAAAACATTGAATTATTTGGATAAATTATTTCAATGGGATAATCTTCAAAAGTCACAATTTTACAAAGGTCTTCCAAAAGTTTTAAAACAAATACCACATCGTGTTATACTTCATAGAGTGTTACCATCATTGTATAAAGAATTGGTAAATCCACCAATGATTCCATTTGTATTACCAAGTATTTTGCAAGTTATGGAATCTTGTGAAGTAGAAGAATTTAGAGAACATATTCTTCCTAATTTAAAACCTGTTCTTGCATTAGAGGATCCACCACAGGTAAATGTCTTTTTAATGATATCATTACAATTCATTTTATTATACATTTCTTCTATTAATTTCATTACTTTTTATCAGATCAGTCTCGTGTTAATGCAGCAAGTAAATTTACTATTAAAATTGTGTCCTGCGGATGTTATTAAAAGTGATATAGTTCCTATGCTTACACGCGCTTTAGAATCAGGTTGGGAACAACTTCAAGAACTTTGTTTGACAGCATTGCCAAATACAGTAAATATGATCGAAGGACCAGTTATGAAAAATGCGATATTACCTAGGATAAAAAAGATTTGTTTAAATAAGAAAAGCCAAACTAGTGCAACTTTAGGAATACGTGTTAATTGTTTATTATGTCTTGCAAAAATGTTACCAAGTTTTGACCGCTGGTTGGTTTATGATGAGATATTGCCACTTCTTCAAGAAATTCCTCATACGGGAGAGCCTGCTATTTTAATGGCTATTATAGGTATATTATTGTTTATAGTATACATTTTGTTTTCTGTTACATTTGTAATTCAATATGTTTATTTACTTTTAGGAATATATAGATTATTATTAACGCATAGTAAAATGGGCATCAGTAAAGAAATATTAGCAACAAAAGTATTACCATTTTTATTGCCACTATGTGTAGAGCAAAATCTTAGCTCGTCACAATTTGAAACACTTTCTACATTGGTAATAGATATGATTAATAGAGTAACCACTGAACATAGAGAAGCTCTTAAACAATTAGACGCCGTAAGACGTGAGACACAACAATTTGAAAAAGAATTATCAGCAGCAACACAAATAACATTCCCGCAGCAAAATGTATTAAACAATATCGATGTAACACCACAGAAACCATCTGCAAATGTACTTAAGCAATCTGCTGTTATCGAAAATGGATTAACCATGGAAGAAAAGTTGAGGTACCATTATAAAAAGAATGTGATATTAAATATATATATATATATATATATATACAAACAACAAAATATACATAATATATTTTGATCTTTTAGATTGGCACAACAACAAGAAACTCATCAAAGATTACAATCTCAAGAGCCATTAACGCCAAAAGCAATTTCATCGACTCCCAAAGCACAACCTAAAGATTTAACGGCAACGTTATTGAAAAATAATTTAGATGAATTAAATTTATCTGCATCTAAGTCGCCAAATACTCATTCAAATTACATTGGTCAAAATTTAAATGCAACGTGGAATAATCATAATGCAAATCAATTAAATTCACAATTATTGACATCACCGATGTCAAGTCAAATGATGAATTGGACCACGAAAAATGTAGCTTCACCTATTAATTGGAATTCAACTCAACAAACTTCATGGAACATGATGACGTCTCCTAACAATTTAAAGTCAAGTTGGACATCACAGAAGACGGAATTTACAAAGATGGCAGAATATGGGTCAAAAGTTAATTCTGAAATACTTCAGCCAATGACTTCACAACCTAATTTACAAACACAAGCAAAAACGAATTTGTCTAATCAAGATATTATGGACCTACTTAGTTAGTGAATAGAAATTATGTGCAATATTAAATTCACGATTAGAATTTATCAGTTGATCTACAATTTTAATACATTTCAATGATCTTTCATTAAAGGTAAATAATATATCATTTTAATAGATTATTCTAATTATCATTTTATTTTTCAATTTTATCATTCAAACCAATTTAACAATTATAACAGAATCGTTGCTACTTAATTTTAAGTAATCATGTTAACAATTATATATAGTATAATAATTGATATTTTACGAAATGATTTATTTAATTTTTTAATTTATGTGATAGATATATTTATCGATATGTGACTATATTAATTGTGATCGATATAAAGGATTGGCGAATCTGGCCATATTCGTAATATAAAATATATCAATCTATCTCATTTCATTCCTACAAGCTTATGACATAAAACAATATTATTATTTATAACAATTTAAATAAAAAGAAAATAAGTTTATATTATAGTTAAAAAAAATAAAAAAAAAAAATAAAAAAATAATAAAACACTAAAACATTTCTCGTAGAAAGAAAATATTTTCTTCCATATTCTTTCTGTAACTTAATTCTCTGTTAACGAAGTAGTACTCTTAATTTCTAAAAATAGAAAAAAAAGAAATGATTCAAAAGTTCGTTCGTGTACGTACATAAAAAGCAAGTCCAATTAGTCAGACTTGAGAGGACAATCCACTCGACGATTCTATTTCTATGAAAAAGAATAGTACTCCTCGTAGTCGTGCGTTACTGGGTGTACCCATATATATATATATATATATATACATATATGGTGTAAAGAGAAGCACTAATTGTTCGACCCTTTTCATACTTTCTTTCGCAAGTATGAAAAACGTAATTGCCGAGAGAGAAAGAGAAAGGAGAGGGAGAGAGTGTGGCTCGTGCGAATCGTAGTCGTTCATGCGTTCATTCATCGAAAGCAGCCTTCTGTCATAATGCTCACCCCCGACAAGCGGTGGTGGCAGCGGCGGTGGCGGCGGCACCCCTGCGACTAAGGGGTGGGAATTACTGGCAAAAAGAGGGGGTGCCTTCATCCACCCCAACTTTAGTTGCGAACGTGCGCGTCACCTAGACGGAGTTGTTCTTCTTTTCCACGTTGAAATCCCCGTAAACCAAAGTCTATCTCTCATCATCAACTATGTCGTCGAAGTTTACCGTCCATCTCATTATTTACTAAACACTTTATGGCTTTAGTTATTTTAATTAATTCGTACAAATATCGCGAATGTAAAAATATCGATTTAATATATTTTCTTTTAAATGATAAAATGGGATATTACTTTAATAAAAGAAGCGTGTACTCCTCCCGTGACGTTTGTAATTTTATCCGGTACGCCTTTCGATATCGATTCCAGTAAACTCTACGGCTTACCATTGCCCTTCTCTCTTCTCTACTCCCTGTCAAGAACTTGACTAGATTACACCATCGTTCTTTTCTGTCCTTTTATACACCATACGATTTATTACCCTATAAGAGAACCGATATTTATATTATATGTATATGTATATATATATGTATGTATATATGTAAACGTGGACGCGTTGTTTGAATATCGTTTACTTTTTGTGTGCAAATTATTTGATTTATTTTTTATGGGGATTTCAACGTAAATTCTTCATCACAATGGGAAACCTTCGTATTAAAAAGGTTGATGTATACCAGTGTGTATCGTATAACAGAGAGAATGCAATAAGCGTAAGTGAAGTCTCTCTTTTTTTTTTTCTTTTCTTTTATTCAATGAATCCTATTTCAAAACGTTTAAGGATTGTATTTATAAAGATTTTTAAATGATATGTGTTTTGAGATTTAATTGTTTTATTATATTAGTATATATCATTTAAATAATAACATAAATTAATATATCTTTTTTGTAATGTAACATCATTGCGATTTCGTAATAATATTTGAAATGATTTGATATTATATTATGCAAAGTACTATTAATTTTCATTGTTTTTTATTGTTAGATTTTTGCGTACATATTTAATTATTATTATTTGTTATAAACATCATTTAATTGCAAGTTGTTACAGTTGTTCTTTTCACAATATTAGAAATTGATAATCTTAGCGTGTATTATCTTCATAGATGAAATATTCTGTTTCTTTTTTTCCCCGAAATATTTTACAACAGATTCTACGACGAGTAAATAATTAATACAAAATTGCATATTAATTAAAAATAGAATTTAATTTAAATATTTATTATTTACATTTGTAATGTATTATTTTTGTATTAAATAATCCTAACAGCAAAAAATCAGTAATCTGCGAATTCATCGTACTTAACGGATGAACGAATAAGAGAGAGAATCAAATTACATTTCGTATCAAAGATAAAAGAAAAAAAAATAGATAAAAAAGAAAAAAAAGAGGATTATTTTACCGATTTTGCCGAAGAGATCGAATGCCCAGAATGACCACAGAAATTTTTCAACATGGCGATAATGAATCTGTCTACCCTTGTCAGGCAACAACGCAGGGTGTGAAACGTAGCATAGAACACCGTACCGTTGTAAATTGGACGAGAAATATTTTGCAAATATAAATTAAAAAATACAAAAAAAAAACAAAAACAACTAATAAAGATTCAATTTATCTTGATAGATAAATAAATAGAAAAAAAAAAAAAGTACAGATAAAAGTATCACGAAGATTTGTTTTCGTGATAGTYGTCGTCGTCATCATCATCATGATTATAAACAAGAAAATGTAATAATAATTTTCTATAGGAGACAACAAAATTAATCGGTACAATTATAAAATGTTAATGAAATAATGAATGATATTAATAAATGAAAGAAACGATAAATTTACATCGAATGATTTTGTAGGGATCATCATCGTCGTCTGGAAAAAAATAAAAATAAAATAAAAATAAAATAAAAATAAAAAAAAAAGTAAAAAAAATAATACAAGTTGAGGAAGTGGAGATGACTTGGTCATTCGAATGGTCAACGCTAGGAGTATTGATTCTTCTTCTCCTTAACTGTGGTAATTACTTGCGTGCTTATTCGCGCGGGTCATTAAACCAAGCATGCACATTATGTTATTATTATTACTCTGTTTGTATTTACTATATTTGTTAGAAAAAAAAAGGAAAAAAAAAAGAAAGCAAAAGATAAAGAAATATTTACGAAAGATTTTGATCGATCGATCGATCGATCGATCATTTAATCGTAGGTACATCAAGATCTATCGCGAGTATCAACGAACCACCAATTTTATTAAAAGTCATAGTTCCAGCGTCTCATGTTGCATTGTCCGGTGATCTAACAATTTTGATATTGGAATCATCTCAAGAAAGATTTTCAACGATTCCAAACGAAATACAAACGGATGAAAAAGAAATTGTTGAAGAAAATACTACAGAAATTTTTCTTGATAATCCACTTATTTTAAGGTAAAATTATATTTTTATTTTATTTTATTTCTTTTTCTTTTCTTTACTTTTCGTCCTCGAATATATCGAACTGCTGTTACTGATTTATTCAATTCTTTGTATTATTAAATAATTAATCTGTTTGTATAAATTCGATAGAGTATTATTTCTAAATGGACTTACATCGGAATTAATCGGCGAATTTCCATTGGACACTTTACCGGAAAAAGGTGAAAATGTTACCTTAACGATACCCTGTGGATATTTTTCAAGAGGTGGAACTTATACTTTGCAATTGCAATATAAATTTTCGAAAGTACCGTCAAAGATAACTGATATCGCTGATTTGTCGACCATTCAGGTATCGATCCATCGATATTTTCATTTTATTTCAAAAATATCTTTACAAATACTATCTCTTTTATTTATAATATTTTTTTCAGATGAGCAATGCATTAGATGTAAAGTGGCCAACTCCGTCATTATTTTTGGAACGTCAAAGATTTACGACTTATCCAAACGTACCAATATCAGCTACTTTAAGGTACAAAGAAATCTTTTGTGAACCTTCAGAAAAGGTTCCAGCTGCAGCGTACACGTTACAATTAATTTACTGCGGTTCCAGTACAGTAGCGTGCGATCCACAAAACAAAAGTCGTGTTCAAGTAAATAAAAAAAACACAAATCTAAATACTTTTAATTATAATTAAACAATTGTTAAAATATTTCATTTATTTTTAGGTCCTTTATCATGAAGAAATAAAAGGATTTCCTACGGAAAAGCATATTATACTTCATTGCGAGTATTTTGGTCTTGCCGGTGATTATGCTATTAGATTAAAAGCATCACCAGCAAATCCAAATGCACCTACGACTAGTGCATATATCAAAGTAAGTTGAATAGATAATAATCAGAAATAATGATCATTTTGATTTCGTATAAAAAATAATGAATTTTTTAACGTGTAGGTTGATTGGTCGGAAGAATTTGTCTTCAGTGTTCATGCACGATCGATTTATCCTTGTGAAGGATCAAGAGGTGTACCAGTTATATTCGAATATCCATCCTGCCGACTTCAAGGGGACCGTGTGCGAGTTTATGGTCGTCTTAGGGCCAATGTTCAATCACTCGCACCACCTTCCACCCTTCATTACATAGCAGAACTCAAAGCTGTACCAGGGAAACACACGTTGACTTTCGAATGTGACATATTTAAAGAAAAATTTATCGAGTATTGTTTCGTTTATGTCAGTCAAGCCATAACAGGGGCGATGGCTGAAGTGAAACTTTCTTGTATTCCAACGTTCCCTTTTAAAGGTAAGAAATGGATTAAAAAAAAAAAATGGTGAAACAGTTTGTTGATTTTTTTGAAACGTTTAGAAAATGATGCTGGTGGTTGGGGATCGTGGAGTCCATGGACACCATGTAGCAGTTCATGCATCGGTGGAATTAGAAATCGTTACAGATTTTGCGACAATCCACCTCCTAGATATGATACTAAATTTTGTCAGGTACGTATGATTAATTTTATTCCGTTAATTTCAAAGTTTCATCAGTATTTGTTGATTTCAGGGTAAAGCCGTTGAAACGGAATCCTGTGGTGGATCTTTGTGGCTTGGTTTACGTGATACATGGAATATGGCTGATTGGGATTGTCATCATGGTACCGAATTAGCTGCCATACGACCAGAAGTTACAGCACAGATCGGAGTTAAATGTCGTTGCGGTTGTTTGATTACGCTCGGTGAAGTAACATCGAGAAAAATTTTAGCAGCTAATACACAGGCTTGTCCTGGCCGTTCGTTTTGGTTGGTTGAGGTAAATATTGTGCATTATCAAAGAAAAAAGAATAATATTTTGAATATTGACATTAATTGAAATTTTATTTGATTGCATATATACAGGCAAGACAAAACTTTGTAGTCAGATTGCACGTAGATCAAGCACAATTTCCATGCCCAGGACAATATTTTCGTGTACGAGACGGCGATTCATTGAGTGCTAATCTTTTAACAGATATAGCTTTTGATAAGTCTATACCATCAACGAGAACAATTATTTCTACTGGTGAACATTTATTGTTAGAATTCTTCAGCGATGAAATAACAGCGGCTGGTGAATCTTGCGTCGGTGGTTTTCTAGCTCATGCTGTCATTATTTGTACGTATATTTCAAAATGTATACAAATTTGTATACAAGGTTAAGATTTTGCATTATATTTTGTAGATAAACCACGAGAAAGGAATGATACGTTAATGTCGGTGCCTTTTAAACATAATTCCACGTCCGTCGTCGGTGAATGGATATTTTGGATGACACCCGCCCATTTAGTTGCGGCGTCTTTATTAATGTTAATATTTTTCATATCTATTTCTCTAGCATTGCAATTTGCCTTTAAATATAGGAAATATCATATCGCCGAGGATTTGGATAATTTGAGCGAATATTCTGGTGAGTTGTAAACAAAATGTTGTTGTATCATCCTTTTTACTTTAACATTCATTATTTTTAGTATGTAGCGATTCTGGACCAAATACAGTGAGACGCGAGAAGACTTTATCTTCCGCAACTTTAATCTCCGAAGTAGTTTCTTTGGTCAGATTATCAAGAAGAGGTACACCCAATCATATGAAACTTGAAAGCACATCGTGCGGAGCTGAAGAGGATTATGATAGTTCTGAGACACAAGCAGAGTATGATATTTATCGATTACATTATGTTAAATATTAAAATGTAAGTTAACAAAATATAATATTTAATAGATACGAGGATGAAACTACTGCAAGATCAGGTACATTGAAGTTAAATGATTCTGAAGCTAGTGGCTCACAAAATACTATAGTTTCTAGCAAGGACATTACCGAGAGCGTATCTTTCATGTCAAATATCGTTTTTGTTGGTCAGCCTGAAGTGAAATATGCTAGACCTGTGAAGTATGTATTTACGTATAACAAAAGAAATTGATTATTGTAAGAAAAGATAATAAAATAAAATCAATGTTTACGATTATTAGATTACGAACGATAGGATTACAAAGTCCTACGTTCGATCAAGATTCAATTGCAGACGAGAGTAAAATTCAAATTGCATCGGATGATAGTACGAACAATGGAAAGCTTTGTCAATATGATCCTAGCAATGTTTTGCGAGGCAAGGTAGGATTAAAAAATTAATTGAAATAATAAAAAATCATCAGAATACTGTTGTTAGTATTTTTAATTGTTTCAATAGGAATTTTCTCCCGTACGAATGTATTCTAACGTCCCAACTTTGCGTACCGGGAAGGAAACGAAAGATCGTAGAAATCGGGAACGTCTACTTCACGGGCCAGGATCGGAATACAGTATAACTAATCCCGAAATGGATTTGGAGTTGGACTACTATGACTACAATGTTGCGAATGCAGGTGCCGCTCCTGGTTCCTATCTGGGTATGGACCCAGCTTTCTTAGTCTGGATACCACCGTTGTTGTCTTCGGATTCTGATATCATTCCCATGGAAAATGTAGACAGTCGTCTGATGATGGAAGGACAACTAGGAAGGGAAGGACTGGTGCTAGGTACGGAAGGAGCTACTTTAACTCCCAGCGAGTATAGAAGAATGAAAATGTTGAGACCTGGCGAATCCAAATCAAATTTAGGTATTTGTCCTAATACCGAGCAAAATCAAGGTGATACTTTAAAGAAATGCGAATCCAAAGGTAACTTTCTCTCGGATGAGGACTCCTATGATGGTAAGGAAATGTTGATTGAACGACTACTTCCTATTCATCGAATCCTTGAAGATTCTAGAATCAGAGTGAGCGAGGAATCGTTGTCCAGTCAAGCATTTAGAGATAGAACGATATTACAAAATATTATTCCTAATCGACTTTACGATAATAATTCAACGTCTATTTCTAAATCTGAATCAAATGTATCACCAGAAAAGATTGTTGATCAATCGTTGGTAGAACAGAAACAAGCGAATCTTCCGAATTCGTCGAAAGGTAATAATCGAAGTGGTATTACCAATGTTAATAGTGTCGATAATAATGTCGTCCAGGTAGAGGATAAAGATAAGAATGTAATAAAATCACCATTGAGCGTTAAACGTAATCGTCCGGATGGTAGTTATTCCAAATTATTGTCATACGTTGGATATAAACCAAAAAGTAGTAGTACTGTTCAAACTGACGAGAAGAAAAACGATGAATTAATCGTTGGTAATGAAAATAATAGCGAACAGAATACGAATGATAATGCGAAGGACAATGAAAAGTCCAAATCGTTGCTTTCTAATTTAGATCTAACTAACGTTATGCAATACAAGTACAAAGATTTCACGAATTTTACTCAACCGTGTGAAAATAACAAACATCTAGATATCGTTAATATTCCTATGACGGAATTATCACGTGGTTGTATGAAATCTCCCGTTAAAGTTCATAAACAGGTGGATAAGAAAAGAATAGTTGTACCGCAAGAAGAAATTCTAAGTCCCGATTATGGTGTTGAAACCGATATGAAGGATGAATCGCACGAATCTTTTTACGATTTAATTCGAGAATCTGAAAATGAAATTAAATACGCGGACGAGGACGACGAATATATTGATAATAAAGTCAGTACATAAAAAAAAAAAATATAACGTCAAATCAAATGATAGAAATCAAAAATGAAAATCAAAGAAATGAAGGGATGTTCGCCGTACTCGCCATCTTTTTTTTTTGTTTTTTTTTTTTTTTTTAAAGAAAGGAGCCTCCGTCCCAAGTAATTTCAATCTTCGTGATCATATTAATTTCATATGCCAAAGAATTCATTTTTTTAATTGTAAATATTAATTATACAGTGTCACTATTTAATATAACTATCGTTACAATAGTAAGAAAGGAAAACAAAGAAAAAAAATTAATCAATGTGTCTAAATAGCACACTGCAATGATTCATAGAAATATTGTTATAGTTCTTGCAGCTACCCTTTGAAAAATTAATATATATTCCAATGAAAAAAAAAAAAAACAAATGAATTACTATATCTAACTACTATATAAATATATACATACATATATATATATAGATCGCCATACTTCCTCTACTTTGCTGAACTTTTGATACGTTAAACAACAAGATTAAAGAGAAGAATCAAAGTAAAAATAAAAAATAAAACAAATTAAAAAAAAAAAAAAAAAGCAGAAATTATTGACCGTGCCTTAGGAGATTAAAAGAATTGTTGCTAATTGTACTATTTCATCCATTTGTAGTAAATTCATTGAAAGTTTTTCACATAAAGTTGAAATTATTCTAGAATCTAGATATTTTTTCAAATTTCAATTTATTAATTAAATAAATAATACTTAGAAGAAAGTAGTACATCACGTAAACACATATCACGAGGCATTTAAAAGCCTTATTAGATTAAAAATATTAGAAAATCATCGATTACCTCAAAACCATTGGAACATAATATTTTCGCTTAAACATTTAAATGTAATTATACATACTTATTGCTTATTAATTGTGACAATTTGAGAAAATAACAATATATACTTAGATATATATCGTATATATAATTTTTGAAGTATATCTATGAAATAGCATATATATAATATGGGGCGCAGGGAGCCCATTAATTTTCAATGGCTTCATATGGAATTTATACATTATCCCCTTTAATCGATCTTATGTTAGTTAGAACGTATCGAAAGTATCTGTAAATCGATAGAGGAAGAATCTTTCATTATCTTCAATATGAAACGAAGCCAATGCAAGGCTCCTCTTCGTATTAGAAATTAAAAAAAAAAAAAAAGAAAAATACCATGAACGGCTTCTGCTTTGTCATTTCAATAGAAACACGTAATTAAATAGCATTCAATTTCATTCAATAGATTTCGAAATTTTTGATTTTATAGTTAACATATCAAGCTGTTAATAATATTAATAAAACGTTTAAGATTTCATTTGTACGATTATAAATAATTCACAATGAAAGAGGAGCCTTGTACAACAGATTATCCGTGAAATAATATTAATATACATAATGAAAATATTTATTGATTTGTAATCAAATCAAAAAAGAGGAATTGAATTGAAGTTAACTAAACATACGTTATGGTCAAAGTTCCTCTGACGTGTTTTTGGAAACCAACTTTCAACGCGAGTATTGGCGATCTAATCAATTTCTATCGGATATCAAAAAAAAAGAAAGTACATTTTGTACTTTGATTAAAAAAAAAAAAAGAGAGAGAAGAAGAAGAACAGAAAGAGATAAAAAGTTATAAAACTTTAGTATCGTTGAACAAGCTCGTTTAGATAAAAAATAATAATAATAATAATAAACAAATAAAAAGGAATGAGTTAGATGCAAAAAAAAACGCATGCATCTGCCTTAGAAGAATAATATAAAAAAAAGGAATAATCGATTACTCAACACATTGATCTCTTTACTGCGTAGACTCAGGCCAATTTAAAATAAAAAAAAAAGAAAATAAAAGGGATGAAGAAAGAGTTACCAATGCGAAAGAACTCGTGTGAATTATTATAGATTTTTGCCTTAAGACTGCCATAACGTGTTAGGAGAGGAGAGCAATATTATTAAAAAAAAAAAAAAAGAAAAAAAGAAAAAACAAAGAAAGAAAGAAAGAAAGAACAAAAAAAAATTAAAAAAATAGACAAAAGAAAAAAAATGAAAAATAATGAAACATCAAAATAAATGACAAAACTTTATTGAAACTGTATATAATAGATTATAACAATAAGGAATACGCCTGCGATCAGATGTATATGTATTTTAGATATGTAAGGTTAACGCAGATTATATGTATTTGATCTTATAATGAAAAAAGGGTACAAATTACAGATCTATATGTTTTTAGTGCATTTGTATATATACATACATACATACATCAATCAATCAATCAATCAATCACATTTACACATACACGCACACGATAAGAGAGAGCGAGAGAGAGAGAGAGAGAGACTCACATGTGGGACACTTATTTTACATTGATCTAGGTGTATATTTATTTATTCGGAATATTTTTAATTCATCATTTTGCATTATTATTATATATCACAAACAAATGTCATTCAATATTTATACATATTTGATTATATGTTATCTATGGCATTATTGAACTTCATTAATTGTCAGTCGAATTAATATCATACATTTTAGCATAATATTTTTCTCCATGGATTATTATTCTTCTTCTTCTTATTGTGCAATAAATATTTCAAAGTCAATAATATGTCGCGAGATAAAGAAAAGAAAAAGAAAAAGAAAAAAAAAAAGAAAAGATAATTAATATGAATACAGTTTTGTTTTTTTTTTGTATTATAATTAATGTTGTATATTACCGATGTAAGAAAATCTATTTGGAATTGATTTCATTTTATAAACATTTATTTCATTTTGTCCGTTTTATAAATAATCGACATGAAAATAAGTTGAATATTTTTGTCGAAAGATCGGAATACATATATGACCTCTCTGTGTGTGACCTGTCTATAAAAAATAATACATAAGAATATCCATTTTATACTAATAATAATTCGCGAAAATCATGATGATTTTTGCTTTTTTTTTTTTTTTTGAAATCTCTTCTTATATCTTAAGAAGCTTTTATCGTTTATCCTGCTTTATAATAAATTTATTAAAACTTTTGTTAAATGCGATCGTTTTATTTCAATTAAATGTATTCATAATATCAATCTCACAAAAATCAAATTTTTAATAACCTATTAAGTTAATTTATAATTAATAGATTTGTTTGTTTTGTTTTTTCTTCATATTCATTTTGAATTTGAATGTGTCTTCATCAACTTGTAAAAATTCGACCAATCAGATTACAAGATATAAAGCTACGCATGCGCATATCGTTTTATGTCTGACCAATGAGATTCGTCTATGTTTAACAATTTGGAATATAACCATTCATTTTACCATTATAAAATTAATAAAATATTCCTATTATTATTATTTGATATGTTTAAATTAAGATAATAAACGTAATCTCTGATTCGTTGAAATTTGATTAATGATATTTTCAAATAATTGAAATTCCTCCAATCAGATGTAGGGAATTTTTTGTGTTCAATCATTTGAACGAATTATTTTTTGAAATGTCGGAGTGTACTGACTAAAAGACAAATTGGTTAACCAAGTTTGTAAGTAAATAATTGTAAATAACCGTTTAAATTAATTGAATTGACGTTTTAAAATCAAAGTTGGTAATATTCTTTATATAAGAAACATATTATTATAATCTAATATATATATTAATGTTGTAGTCTTTAATTAATGGAACATTAATTTTGACATTCGATTGTAAATCATTTTGTTTATTTGAATTGAAAGAAAATCAAAAATGTCTCGAATACGTCAACTGTCTATATGTGGTGTTCGAAATTTTGACGATCAAGAACAAGCCAGAATACGTTTTGGTCGTCCTTTGACACTTATTCTTGGTGCAAATGGTACTGGAAAAACAACATTGATAGAATCATTAAAATTTGCCACAACCGGTGATTTTCCACCAGGCTCTGATAGAGGAAAATCATTTATTCATGATAAAAGATCGGTAGAATTTCGTTTAGTAAGTATAAACTAAATATTAGTAATTTTCTTTAATAGTAATAGGAAAGTATTATAATAATGAATAATAATATTATTTTTTGATGACAGGTTAAAGGTTGTGTCAAAGCTGAATTTGTAAGTGCTAATGGAAATACTTATACGATAAGTAGAGTGATTGAATGTGTACGTAACAATTCAGGATCCAAATTCAAAACGGTAGACAATACACTAAGTAGAAAAGAAAAGGGAGCAAGCAAAGTATGTAATTATTTATAAATTAAAACATATACTTTATTATTATTTTATTTATATCCTTTTTATATATTTTTTTTGTTTTTTTTTTTTTATACAGGCGGTTTCAATAACAAACCGATGTATTGATATAAACACCGAAGTAGTAACTGCAATGGGTGTTTCCAAAGCGATCTTGAATTATGTGATATTTTGTCATCAAGAAGAATTTAGTTGGCCATTGGATGATGGAAAGAAATTAAAGGAAAAGTTTGATGAGATATTTGAAAGTGTGAGATTCAACAAAGCACTTGAGAATTATTTGAAATGTATTAAAAATTTGGAACAAAATATACGCATATTGAAAGTAGAAAAAGATTCATTTAAAAATGTTGTCAATGAAGTTGAAGACAAAGAGAAAAAACGTCAAAATACTAAAGACAGATTAGAAGAGGCTACGAATGAAATAACTGCAATTGATAAAGAACTTGAGACTGTAATTGAACAAATTCAAGAATTAGAACAAATAGATGCAAAGTATAAAGCATTAATGGATGAAAAAGGTACGACATATCTTTCAAATATGTAACTTAAACCACTTTATTGGTTTCATTGCACAATGACACACTGTTCTTTTTATGCATTATGAGAATTTGTTTTTTAATGACAATAAAAATTCATTTCAATGTAGACAAAAAGAAATTCGAATATGATATGAACAAAAAACAAATTGAATCATTGCAAGAAAATATACAACTTTTTAAAGGAACCATGAGAGAATTATCTAATCAATTAGAATTATACGACAATAGTTTAGCAGAGAAAGCTGCTGAAATAACACAGGTATATTGTTTAAACATTTTATTATCATTTGATATAAAAAAAAAATAAACACAACTCCAATTCAAATGAATTTATTTAAATAAATATTCCATTTTTCGTAGGTAGAAGAAAAATTGCAACGAATTTCATCGAATGAAACTAAGATAACAAATGCAGTAACGGAGAAGAAAATTTCTGTTGGTACATTGAAAGAAAAATTGCAAGATCAAGAGAAAAAAATAGCTCATCGTAATAAAACACTTAATGATATGTTATCCAAATGGAATATGAAAACTGTAATTGATGCAGATTCGTCCAATACTGGTATGATACTTTTATTATACACATATAATTGTTTGTTTCTAATAACAATAAATTATATTGATTTGAACAAATAGAAGATCTTGTTAAAAAGCTTGAAGACAAAGTAGAAAATCTCAAACAAGTGGCAGAGGTTAAAAGACAAAAACGAAATATGGCAGAGGAAAAACTTCAGAAAGAAGTTGATGTATTACGTTCTGAACATTCGAAAATAGAATCAGAGATAAATATTAAAAATAATGAAGTTATTGAAATCAAAAATCAAGTGGAAAGTGTTCAAAATGAAATTTCTATGGTTAGTGTATTATTTGTCAAAAATATTAAGGACAAATGTGTGTGTATGTTTAAATATTATTCTATTTATTTTTAGATTGGAGCTTCTGCTAATAAATTAAATTCTTTAAAAGAAAATGTTGCACTTGTGAATAAAACAATTGAAGATCTTTCCAAATCTTGTGATAGTACTTCACTCAATGATCAGATAAATGCTGAAATGTCTTCAAGAGATTCAATGGAAACTGAGATAAATACTTTAGACGAGGAGATAGAAGTTTTACACAAACATGCTACGTTACAAGCTGAAATATCATTACACAAATCGACAATGAAAGCAAAGGAAGAAGAAATACAGTGTTTTAAAAAGAAACATGAAGATGCAATTAAAATGTTGCTTGAAACTAATGAATTACCTCATACCAAATTAAAAGATAAATTGGTTCCTGCACAAAAGAAATTAGTTAGTGTGATTTGAATTATTTCATTTAATATTTCTCATGGATATTAATAATATTAATTTTTTTTTTTTTAGATGGATCGTATAAAAACAATAAGTAGTGATATACAAACAGAGCAACAAAAATTAATAAGTTTGAAAACAACATTGAAATGTAATAAAGAAGAACTTGAAAAGAAAATTTCAGAATTGGATTGTTAGTATTGTTATAAACAATAGACAAATTTATATATGTATATTGTTATAAATAAGGCTTTATGCATTTAGTTATTTATTACTCAATTGCAATTCTTTTTTTTTTGTTTTTTGCTTTTAGCTAATAAACAGAAAGTATCTTCTATTTGTTATTATAAAGATTTTGACGAAATATTATTGTTACAATCGAAAAGAGTAAAAGATCTTCAAGATAAAAGAGGAATGCACGCGTATCAAAATACAGCTTATAAAGAATACATGAAACAATTCAAAGAACAAGATCCTTGTTGTCCTTTGTGCCATAGAAATTTTGATAAATCATATAATATAGATAATTTGATCAAAGAAATGGAAGAAGAAATTGAAAATCAGCCAGTGATTCTTAAACGTTGCGAAAATGAATTGAAAGCTCAACAAAATAAATATGACAATATGTTACAATTGAAACCAATTATTGAAAAGATAAATGTCGTTGAAGAAATTGAATTACCTCTATTAGAGTAAGTTGTATCAATTTATTCAACTTGTTCTTTTTTTTGTATTTGATTATCAATTTTTTAAATTAAATATAATGTTTCATTATATTATTCTTATGTGTTGTAAAAATCAGAGATAGTTTACAAAGTACAGAAGAACAAATAAAAAAACATGAAACAAGTATAGAAGAGAAAGAAAAATTAAAATCTATTCCTGAAGATATTTTGAATAAATCGAAAAATTTATTCGAAGATATTATGCTTTGGGATCGATTGATAGATGAGACGAATAATCTTAAAGAAAAAATACGTAATATTGAAAATGTCGTGTCTAAAACAGGTATGATAAAATTAATAGAAAAATAATAATATCATTGTAATTATTAATTATCTATCATATTTTATTTAGGAACTAAAAGTACCAGAACTGTTTCCGAAGCACAAGCTCGTAGAAATTCATTGAAAGTTTCTTTAAAAGATACTCGCAACAAAATACAACGATTACAATCAGAATTAAATACATATAAAGAAAAATATCAACATGCTTGTGAAAAACGAAACACGTTATATGAACAACAATTGAAAATAGAATCAAATATGAAAAATTTGGGTAATCTTGAAAGTAAAAAAGAGGATTTAAATTTACGACAAACTACGTTAAAAGAATCAGTGCAAAAATTACGAGATAATTTGTTGACTGCAGATAATAATTTAGAAATAGCTGTTTCTCAGTTGGATCAATTAAAAGTATATTATATTTACGTTTGTTTCTTTTTTTTTTTTTTTTACATATAATATGTATGACATGTATACAATTTATATTTCATTTTTATTGTACATCTAGAAAGAAAATTGGGAAAAAGAAAAGGTGGATAGAACGGCAATTACAGATGGAGAAAGACAATTATTTGAATTAAATAAAATTCAGAATGAAGTTAATGCATTTGATAATTGCAATATTCCTGATACATTAGCAAAATTGGAACTTGAAATACAAGCATTTGAAAAAACAATGAATGAAAATACTACGAAGAAACAAAAGTTAGAAGCACAGTTAAAAGATTTGAAGGATGCTATTAGTCAACAAGAAACACGTAAAAGAGATTTGAGTGATAATCTTGAATTGAGAAAACTTCAATTTACTGCAGAGGAATTACAGCAACAATATCAAAGCTTGAATGAAAAGATTGAAAATATGAATCGCAAAGAAATGATTGAAAATTGGAAAAAGTATCAAAGTCGTGAACAAATTTTATCACAGAAGGTAAATTATTATACAAGTATAAATAATTAATAAATATAATTTGTTATTTTACCAAAAATGATTTTATAGAAAAATGTAGCTATAGGAAAACAAGAAGAATTACAAAACTTGTTGTTGCAATATAATGAAGAACTTAAAAAGGAGTGTTATAGATTAGCTCGTAAAAATTACATGGAAAAATGTATTGAGTTAACGGTAATAATCAAAATGACATGTTTATTTGTCATTTATTTTCTTTCCTCTTACGTACTGATATTTATTATGAACGATATTATTTAGATACAAAATGAAGTAATAGCAGATTTAAGAAAATATTGCAAAGTATTAGATGCTGCAATGATGAAATATCACAAAGAACGTATGGAGAGTGTAAATAAAATAATTAAAACTCTGTGGAATGCTATATACATTGGTAATGATACAACTTGTATAGAAATTCGTACAAATGATACAATAGGTACAGGATCTGCTGCACGTAGATCTTACAATTATAAATTAGTTCAAATGAAGAATGGAATGGAAATGGATATGCGAGGACGGTGTAGTGCAGGACAAAAAGTAAATCATTTTATTTATATAACATAATAAATTTATGTTTTATTTGAAGAGTATTATTATATAAACAAATATTTTAGGTTTTAGCATCAATCATTATAAGACTTGCATTAGCTGAAACTTTTTGCAAAGATTGTGGAGTTCTTGCGCTTGATGAGCCAACTACAAATTTAGATGAAGAAAATGCAAATAGTTTAGCAAATGCTCTTAATATGTACGTAGTATATTCTTTTTTTATAACAACAAATGTATATATATAAATATAAAAAAAAATAATAATTTATCTTCTTTAGGATTGTAAAGTCTAGATCTCGATATCAAAAGAATTTCCAATTAATTGTGATTAGTCACGATGAAAAATTTTTAGTTAAACTTTCTCAATTAAATAATAGCTGTGGCTATTATGAACTTTATCGTAAAGAGAAGTATGTTTTGATTATTTTTTTCTTTTTTTTTTTTTTTTTTTTATTAAAAAACGACATATTGCATATTGTATAAATATAAATATTTTTCTTTTATTTAGTGGTCTATCATCAGTTCGATTTCGCGAAACAGGATCAAATCCTGTTAGTGATCTGCATTTTAAATTAGATTATCAGACATCTGAGGACGAGGAACGTGATAACTCCGAACAGCTAAGAGCTAAAAAAAGAACTTATGTTAATATCAGAGACAATAATGATGATGATGATGATGATGATGATAATGAAAGAAACGAAAATGAAAACAGACCACAAAAGAAACGATTTGTTTGTAATTTCTAAAAATGAAAAATTGATGAAATATCTTCTTGTAACTTTATTTGTATTACATATTTATAATATGTATTTAATCATATATATTATTGGGTAATTTTAAATATTCATAACACCTTTTCCTTTTTTATTATTAATTATAAGATAAATATATATATATATTTTATATGAATATTTGATATTTCTTATTTCCATAAATATTTCATTTAATGTAAATATAAACATTGTAATTTGATTTGCATATACTGGTCAGTGTCCATGTTTTTATATCTCCGTCGGTAAAACAGATTCGCGGCATTTGTATAATTTGAAATTTTTGTCCACTCTATACATGCAATATGGTTCGTGTATGTAAGTACGTACAATGTGAAAATTGTAACAAAAGTATTATTCGAGCATTATTATTTTGACAACTGGTGTAAAGTGAATTATAATATTAAATAGATTGATGTTATTAATCTAAATGTTTTACAATATATGTAGATGCAAGTGAGAAACAGGTTACATGCATTCATATGCGTGTTAATCTATCAAATTATAATTTACAACCTCTCTAATTTTTGTCTTTGACGTAAGTGGTATATAATCTATCAATATAATTAATAATTATTAATAATATTAATCATTAATTAATGAGCAATATAATATTTCAATGAATTTTTAGGTTATAATTTATTTGTAACTATTTATCTTGATTAATTTTAATTTTGTTGGTTATAAAATCAATCAATTCAGTATATTTACAAATTTCTATATTATATATGTATATATTACAGAAAAAAAAGAAAACTGTCAATCATGTCTAAGGCATTAAATTCATATAACAGTTTTGAACAATTAAAAGAAAAAGCACACGTCAACTATGCAGGAAAAAGTTTTTCAGCTATATATGAGAGGCTTCCTCAGATGTATAGGATTGCTCAAGATAGTTTAGCAGAAGGAGATAAAGCTAAAGCATTTATATTTTTAACAAGATGGTTAGATGGTATGAAATGGTTAAAAAGTAAAGATTTGAAATTTGATGCACGGAAGAACAATGCTGATTTGGTTAGTGTGACATATATTTATTATATTTCAAATATATCATTGAGAATAATAAAAACAATTAATCTAAATATATTTTGTTGTTATCTGTCTGTTATAGATGAAAAATGTTGAACAAACAATAAAAAGTTTGACGGAGCAATTAAAAGCGGAACATAGTCAAAAATTAAAAAAGGCATTCCTTAATAGAGATGATACCATTGATCAAATGAATTTAAATATTGTTCCACCTAATGACATACCATTGGAATTTCCAGAAACACCAACAGATGATCCATTGAATACAGAAACAGAAGAATTTATATCTTGCAATCAGTTACATAAAATAATGCTAAAAGAAGATTTAAGATTTTTAATAATTGATGTCAGACCACGAACCGATTATGAAGTGTCACAAATAGATACACCTAAATGTATAAACATTCCAGAAAATGAAATTGTATTAGGGTGAGTTTTTGTTTGTTTTTTTTTTTTTTAATTATTTTCAATTAAATATGTGTGTTTACTATCATATTTGTGATTGTCAGTACGACAAATAATTGAAATATTTTGTATTATGTTTTAGTAAAACGGCAAGTCATTATGAAAAGAATCTTGCAAAACATACAGAATGGAAAATACTATTTCGTAATCGAGGATCACGATATGTGGATACACTAGTTTTATTAGATTGGAAAACTAAGAAAGATTCATTAGTATCTTCTAGTCCTATTAATATATTTAAAGAGACATTATTAAATTGGGATCCAAGTAATAAATATAAAAGGATAGTAATATTGGATGGTGGTTATAATGAATGGTTATCAAGGTATCCTGCATGTACAACGAATCCTAAGATTTCAATTTCTCACTCAGATGATGTGGATAATGATATTATGGAGGATTTAGTGTTAGATAGTTATCCTATATTAATGGATAAGGATGACGATAATATTATTAAAAAACAAACTCAAATGAAATCTAATACTATACAAGATAAAGTTAATATTCAAAATCTTTTGGAGGACAACAATTTTGAAAGTAAAATAAATAGTACATCAAAATTTGCAACATTGTCTAATAATAATATTAATTTGTCTGTGCATTCATCGTCTGGAAAAACTACTAGCATTTATAATAAATCTACATATGATGAGATCATAAATCGAGACAAAAATAGTCCTACCAAATTATTACAACATAATACAATAACTAAACCAATCATTGATAGAAGTAATAAACCTACTTCATTGAAGACGTCTGATCCTAATTCAAAAGAAGTGTTACGTTTAATGAAAGAGTTAAATGAATCTGGTAGAAAAATGGAAAAGTTAGAACAAAAGATTTATGATACAGAAACAACTCTGTATAATCAAAATAAAAGTTTTAAGGAAGATACAACGATACATACAGATTTGGAATCAATGAATTCTGAACTTAACATATTGGTAAGAACATATGTTTTTATTTATACTATTCGTGATTATAGTCACTCATCTATTATTTGATATTCGTTGTGGTACTGTGATTTAATTGTAAATTTAAATGTTTCAGCAAACAGCTCATAATATAAATGAGAAAGAGTTGAGTAAATATAAAGAAGTAGGTAAGTTACAATTTTCTAATGAAGATCAAGAAGAGAAACGTAAGCTTGATTTTGATCTTCTTAAAGTACGACAACGTTTGAAAGATATTAGTGGACATAGAAAACGATTGCATGAGTAAGCATACAAATATATGATATATTATCATTATTATTTTAATATTTTATTAAACATTTTATTTATTATTAATAGAAGATCTATAGAAAAAGATCATAAAGAAGTATTCATTAAACAAAATGACAAAGATGTTCATATGGAACCTCTTAAAACTGATGGTTCTATCAGTACTGGTTTAGAACGTTCACATTCTAGTCCAAATTTAATGCAAGTAAGTTATTTATTTATGACATATATTTGTTTATTATTCTTAATTATTATTATATTAAATTTGATTTAGATGAGAGATCACAAAGCACCAGAAGTAGACAGATCTTCTAAACCACAAATTTCTTCACAATACCAACATAGTTTTAATAATGAAATTAATAGACTTCAACGATTTAATTGGGGAAGTATTGAAGAAAAATTGACCCCTATACATGGGAATGTAGTAAGTAATTTATCATTAATATTAAAAAAAAAAAATAAAAATAAATCCTTTTTTTTAATGCTTAACAATTGTATTGCAATAATTTTGAAAAAGTATTATATAAATGCTATGACGTTTGTTGTTTATACGATAAAAGGATTGAAGAGTGAAGTCACGTTTTGAATATAACTAAATTCTAAGCGTCCTAAGCAATTATCTGATTACAATGAAGTCTGTCGAAGCATTTTCTTTCTATCACTTTCTGTCTTTTCTTATTCATATATAAATACGTTTATGTAGTGGTGAAGTAGAATAACAGTTCTGACGACTATATATTTCATTATATATCTTTATATTGCATTTCTAAATATATATACAATATATAGTGAAAATAGTATATAATATGTTTTATATATATATATATATATATATATATATGTATAAAGAATCGATCTATCTACACAAATGTACATATATATATATATATATATATAAACACGTGTGGGGTTTCTCAATCCAATCTGTTCGTTCACGCCGGTTGCTATCATTTATACACGTGACAGTGTTCAAATATGTACTGTTGTTCTTAATAATTTCTTACTTTATTTTCTTTCAAAATTGAATTTAATAATATTAGTAATGATATTTGACAATATTATTATAATGTGTTTTTAAATAATTAAAATTGTTTAAACATTTTTGTACATTAATGTGTAGTGTTTTGTATAAAGAGACAATGTTACATAATAATGGTTTATTTGCATGCAAAATTCAATCCACAACAAATTGTTAGTTATTTTAAAAAAGTAAGTTAATTGTTTTGAAACAACAAGTATTTTTTTGTATAACACTTTATTATGATTTAGTTTTAACACGTTGGCTGCCGCGCAAATTTTACGTGACTTGCCCCAAGGCGTCAACATGAATTTTTCATTATGCGTCGCCGGTCACCGGTGACCCCCACGGCAGCCAACGTGTTAAATGTTATATAAAATAATTGTGTATATATATATATTATTATTATTATTTTTTTTTTAATAGCATCCAGGTATAACTGGTCTAAAGAATTTAGGTAATTCTTGTTATATGAATAGTATCATACAGTGCCTAAGTAATACACCAAAGTTATCAACATATTTCATTGATAATTTATATGCTGACGATTTAAATAGAAATAATGATAACATTTCACAAACTCAAGTAGTAACAAATGTTGCTGAAGTAATCAAAGCACTTTGGACAGGACAATATAAAAGAATATCTCCACATTGTCTTAAGGTATTTTATTTTCAATTAATCATTCAAAAGGTCCAATTGAAATAAATTAATATAATTAATATTAACAATGAAATTTGTTTTGTGGGATGATAGGCTGCTATTGGACAATATAAAGTTCAATTTAATAGTTACGAACAACAGGATTCTCATGAATTTTTGACATTCCTTTTAGATTGGATGCATAGTGAACTTAAAAAGGTAATATTGTAAATAAAAAAATATGTTTTAAGTATACTAATTGTAAGTGAAACTATCTTTTCATTTACAGAAAATAAAAATACAAATAAATAATAAAATCACTACTGCTGAAAAGGAATGGGATAAAGCTATGGATTGTCAAGAATCAATTATTTCTGAATTATTTTTTGGACAATTAAGGTCAACTATTACATGTAGTTCATGTCAAAAAGATAGCACAACTTATGAGACTTTTAATAGCTTGACTATGTCATTGCCACATACAAATAGATGTACATTGGATGTAAGATTAACATTTGATTATTTTTATACGTAAGTTGGAACTTAAACTATTTATTCACAACCGATACAAAAAAGTTACATGTTTGCACCTGTTACTGTCCTTCAAAGTAGTCACCAGCGTTGTGTAAAACCCGTTGCCAGCCATGTGGAAGGTGTAGTATACCGTAAGCAGAGCCTGTTCTGTTGATGGTGCGAATGCTGTCTACTGCCTGTAGAATCTCTGGAACAGTTCTGAAGCTAATGCCACGATGGGTTTTGCATGAATTGACGGAAATGCAGAAATGGATGCGTTACGACGCTGCTCAGACGCACTTGGAGTGCTATGAGCGCGAAGGAGAGGCTTCTTTCTTACGCCATATCGTAACACTGGATGAGACATGGCAGTAGACCGCTTCATTCGCACCATTAACAGAACAGGCTCTGCTTACGGTATACTATGCCTTCCACATGGCTGGCAATGGGTTCTACACAACGCTGGTGACTACTTTGAAGGACAGTAACAAGTGCAAACATGTAACTCTTTTGTATCAGTTGTGAATAAATAGTTGCCACTGTTTAAGTTCCAATCTACGTACATGTAAAATATATTATTTGTTAAATTCAATTTCATATTGTTTTAGGATTGCATACAAAAATTTGTAACAGGACAGAAAGTGGTTGGTTGGAAATGTCCTAAATGTCAAGCACCACGTGAAGCAACAAAAAAGTTTGATTTTATAAAACTTGCACCAATCATTGTGATACATTTAAATCGTTTTGCTGAAAGTGGTGGTTGGCTTGAGAAAAGAAATACTACGGTTGATTTTCCTTTAAAAGAATTTAATTTAAAACCATATCTTATTACGGATCATGATGCACCTATAAACAATGCACGCTTTTGTACTTATAATTTATACGCCATGTCTAATCATTATGGAACAATGGAAGGTGGTCATTATACTGCATTTTGCAAAAATAGTAATCAGAATAAGTAAGTTTTGAAAACAAAAAATATATGAATTATATGAATTATATTTGAGAATAATATGTTTGAGATTTTGATGATTTGTCTTTTGATTTTTTTTTTTTTTTAGATGGTATAAGTATGATGATCAAACTGTAACAGAAGTATCACCGAGTCAAGTTAAATCTCAGAATAATAGTGCCTATTTACTTTTTTATACATCCTTATCGAATACATACATTTAGTACAAGGATAGTAAATTAATTGTACAAAAGATTTCGCTTGTTGATGCTTTCTTTTGTTTGAAAAAGGAAGAAATATCTTTTTCAAAGTTATGTAAATTTTCATTTTTTTGTTTATAAGTAACAAGCGAATGTGTGAAATTTATATATATATATATATATATATGGTATATATATTTACAAAAAAAAAAAAGATCTTTGTGCAAAGAAGCTTATATCATTTTGCAAGAAAGTTAAAAAAAAAAAACAAAAAAACAAAAATAAGGCTTTAGCGGTGCTGGAGTTATTTATAAATATGTAAATAAGTAGTGACAACAACAACAACAACAACAACAACAAAATCTATTGTAATTATTTTATATTGTGATAAGTATACATCCAAAAATGCAATATTATCATAACCGTGAAAATTTGATATTGTTACAAATTTAAAAAATTAGTTCTCTTTTTTTGGTTTTTTTTCTGTGTATATTATTTGGCTTGAATTATTTTGTGCCATGTTTGTATCATCGATGGATACACGTTGAACATATTTGTGTTCAATGAATTAAAAATGGCATTGCAAGAATATTGTTAATTGTGAAAAAAAATCATTGAATTGTATTACGTTCGAATTTTGAAAAATATCAATCGGAATATGTTACAGTATTTATATATATATATAATACAAATTAATAATGATTGTTTTATTTTTGTCTTGTTAATAATATGCAAATATTAAGAGACACAAAAGTTAATTAATGACGGTGAAAAATATTAGTAAAATAAAACGATTATAGAAGATGATGATAATTATGTTTTTTTTTTGTTGACTACAAATTATACATATAAATATATATATAATAATTTAATAATAATATATTTAGTATAGTGAGCTAGCTAGCTTGAAAGAAGAATGTTAAAAATGAATGTTTTTTTACGATTGCACTAAAAATAATGTTTAGCTAATGTATCATTTGCAAACTGCCTATTTTCTTAAATGTTAAATGTTGCTGTAAACCATTTCATTCATATATATAGAAAATATGACTTAATATAGTATTATTTTACAGCAATGTTATACACTAATAAATTGAAATTAAACTAATATTAAAATATATCATTAAATTATATTTAGTTCCTAATAGGATTATGTATTATTATAAAATATAACATTCTTGAAAATATACAATTATTATACACACCAATTATATATATAAAATAGTAAATGAAAGTATATTTAATGTGTTACATTTACATTTACATTTCATCTTTGATTGGTTTATAATTAAAAGAATCTCGTTTTATAATTTTCATTAGAAAAAGAAAAAGCAAACTAAATGCATGAAAAGTAGTTAGAAAAATAATAGAAATAGATAAATATAGGCGTTAATAACATTGCTAACGTGTATTTCAATATAGATTTCTCCATCTCTCTTACTGTAAATGCCTTCTTCAATCAAAAACTTTTTACCGTTCTTCTTAACGTAACTCTCGTTAAGACAATTTATATTTTTATCCTTTAATACAGGAGACAGGAGGAAACAGAATTACCCGGCTGACGGCGGGTTTGTTCTTCTCCCTTTTTCTGTTCGGCACCCTCTTTCGTCACAAAAGAACCTCGAACCTCTTGCCAACTTTTTTCATATTCCAATTAGAATATTTCTCGTTGATTTAATGCTCTCTCTCTCTCTCTCTCTCTCTGTTCTTTTTTTTTTCTTTTTTAGTGCAAATATTAACGGCTTAACACAACAATAAATTTACGATGTCAATGCTTTGAGATTTTTCATCGAATGTGCGATAGTCGTAAGGAAATCAGAATTATAAGGAAAAGAAGAAAGAAGAGAGAGAAAGAAGAGAGAAAGAAAATCTAAGGATCGGCAAATCCTACCACCACCACCACCACCTACATACATACATACATATATATATATTTGTATGCTAACTTTACGAGTCGTAGAAACTCTCGTAACATTAATCACCGTTAGTTATTCGAAATCAATAACGCTCGTAAAAATGTCTACTCTCTGTTTACGAGCTATTCCTTTTCACTTTATATCGTTCTCGAGACTTGGCTAAAATTATTTCTAATTTAATTGCGCCAGAATATCCAAGAGTTGTTCTCCATATAAGAGATATCTGCAAGAGTGTTCTGATGGTGATGGTGGTGGTAGTGGTGGTGCACATACTCTCGTGAAGAAATGAAAAGAATGACGTATCCTCGTTTTCTATTCAGGATGGATTTATAAGAATGATGTGATAATAAAGGATACGGATATTATACACGATCTAGATTATTATTTTTTTAATCTTTTATTATTATAACTTACCTTAAAATGTAGATCAAATGCAATACATTGCAAATAATGTTAGAAAAAAACAAAAAACAGAAAATCAAGATTTATTATTTATGATTAAAATGAACAATTCAATGAATACTTTTGATGATGAATAAATTAAAATTAAGAAATATATTTTGAATAATTTTGAAATTATTCATTGATGAGAGATTGGTTTTAAAAAGAAAAAGAGGTCACGGCTGTTTTTATGAGAACAACAACAACAACAACAATAATAATAATAATAATAATAATAATAATAGATATATACACTAATACAACAAGATAGACGATTAAGAAGCTGTATTTTGTTGATCGACAAATAATTGCATACAGGAGGCACACGACGCGTATGCTTAATGATAGATCGTGTTAACTTTATGCGATACAAACAGAGGTAGAAAGGCTAATGCTGCCAGAGATACGCGAATACGATAGTACAATTATCATAATGTATAGGCCATTTATTAAATTGGAGAATATAATACACAAGCGGTAGATAACACGTATGTATAATTTATACAATGCTTTTTAGTCGCCGCCTTCCTCCCCACAACACCCCACCCCCACCCCACCCTTTCATCTCTCCTCTTCTACACACACACACACACACACACACACCTTTCTTTCACATTTTATACAGATTGTCTCTCTACCGTTAATTAACAATAATTTATCTAATACTGTACAGAGTAATTGTTAAATAATCGATAGCCGATAAACTTATAGACTAGGATGTTGAAATTGTATTCGCTTGTTGTGTTTATTGCAGCGGATGCAGTTTATGTATACATATATATTTTTCATTCATTTTCTCTTATTATCATTATCATCATCATCATCATCATCATCTCTCTCATTTCATTCTTTCTTTCTTTCATTTGCGTATCTTCAAAACGTACACTACGTGTAACCGTTAGCTTTCACATTCGTTCTTTTTCTTTTTTCTTTTTTTCTTTTTTATTATATTCTAATTTTAATAATAACCTAATCCACCTAACTATGTATATTCGAAGTCGTATTAAATACGTTAAATATCACATTCACGTTTATCGTATCTACAGAAATATACAAAAGTGTGTCATTCTTGTACGAACTTTTCTTTTTTGTTTGTTTGTTTGTTTGTCGCTTGCGTTGATCTAATTTACGATATTTTGTATTTTTTTTTTTTTTTTTATAAACCAATTTCATAAAAAGACTATGTTCATTGATTCTTGAGATCTGTGTCATATTGTCTGTCATTATATTTGATTAATAAGTCAATTGTAAATTTAATCATAAAATCAAAATAATCTTTAAACAATAATGAAGTTCATTTTTGTCGAGGTAGATAAATAGATTATATTATCTTTTTTTTTTCTTTGTTATTAGATTATTTAAATAAGTACGAACAGAGGATTAAGTAATCATTTCTAATGAAATTCTTATTATTTTGTTACAGTTTCAATAATTCATGAAAAATATAAAAAAACAACAACAACACAACATGGAAGAATCAAATGTTTTAGACATTCGAGTTTTAAGATTCGATTAGAATAGGATCGATACTATAGGATCTTGGAAAGAAATAAAAAACAAAAAAAAAAATCTTTTATTATTCCTTTGTCTTTTTTCCATAGAAAAAGACCCATCGATTTTGTTCTCCTACCATAATCCAGAATCTCGTAATTCAGTCACGCTAGCGAACCAACGAACAACCACCTCGAAGACGAGGGAGGAAGAATAGAGAGAAGATATTACCTCACACACACATACACACACATACACTCAATACTTTTCTCATACATATACAGAATCACACATGTATATATATGTATATATTAGTATTAGTTACATCACTCTCAAGTGCAAGTAAATCCGTGACAAAAGGATTTGACTTGTCTTCTTCTTCCTTTCTTTTTCTCATTCATTCGCATCAAAGTTATCAGTTTTCTCTCTCTCTCACACACACACACACTCTCATTCTTTCTATATATATATATATGTCTGTCTATTTTTCTTTCTCTCTTTCTTCCTTATCTTCTTCGTTTTCCTTAGCCACGCCTCTTTTTTATATCCCCTCCTTTTCTACCATAACTCGTCGTAAATTTTCTTTTGTTCTTTATTTCATTCATCCCATCCTGTTGTTCTCTATTTCATTTTATTTTATTTTATTTTATTTTATTTTATTTTATTTTGTAGTATCTTTCTCAATGCCTGTATTGCTGTTCGAGTTCCCTTCTCAACCTTTTCGCTGCTGTTTCGCTGGTACCATCAGTTTCTGCATCACTGCAACCATCATCACCTTCAGCAACTATTCCCTCAACTTCTTCCTGACGTCTTTTAGCTGTCGCCATTTCTGCTGCGTTCTTCTTTCGCCACTTTGTTCTTCTGTTTTGAAACCAAACCTGAAATCATAGAAAATAAATAGGAGGTAAACCTTTTATTTAAATAGAATGATGTATATCTAACATTATATTCAATATATTTGTCTTTTAGTTTCTTTTGTGAGGATTATAGAAAGATTCTTATTAAAAGAATTTGCTGAAACGAATTGGAAAGGCAATATAATCCTGATGGGGATAGTAAAAAGATCATAAAAGAAGTAGTTACATTTTGGATGGAATTAATGATCAATCGTGAAAATGAATATGCTTGAGTGAAATCGAATATGGATGACGAATTTGAGAGATTCTTTGTTAAGAAGAAAAAGGATTGAAAAACAGAAGACTAAAGGGAAAACAAATAAGCGGATTATATAACTGGAGTGAGAAAGAGAGAGAGAGAGTAGTAATTAGTGTCGAGTTTAGACTTAAG